TGAGAAAACAATAGAATTCCCAATTCAATTCTCAGTTGAATTCTCAAATGCCGTTTCCGCAAAAATTCGCATGTAAAATCTCAATTGAGATATTTGTATCTGATGGAAATAATTTATTGAAAATATAATAAACTTTTGCTGAAATGCTTTTGAAAAGCATTCACAATTTTGACCCAATTTCATTAAAATTTCATTATAATTTCATTAATATTTCAGTAATATTTCATAAAAAATGTAGAAAAATTTAGTGAAAAATCATTATTAATTAAAATAGATTGAGAAAAGTATAATAAAGTATTATTTTGTCTAAATAATAAAAAAAAACTATAATTTCATATTTGGTGTCGTTTTATTTATTCGTAAGATTTGCGTGGATTCGATCCCGTGTCACACGGCACCCAACATCCATCTTTAGATGACTATGTGTTGTTCAATGCCTAACCTCAACGATCGTACGGGAACTGGTGATGGCAATGCGCTGTAACGATATCGTGGTGGATTGTATTTACAGTATACTCTTATAGCGTTTAAAAATGTAATGACATATTTATCGGTAAATGTTTCAAAGGACGTAACAACAATCACAATGCAATTAATATTAATATTGATACAATGTTGTATAACTAATCAAACTTTAACATACAACGTGCTCGCAAAAGAGAGAGAATATTCCTTCTTTCTCTCTCTTTTGCGAGCACGTTGTGTTTAAATTTAATTAGTTATACAATATTGTATCAATATTAATCGCATTATGATTATTGTTATGTCCTTTGAAACATTTACCGACAAATATGTCATTACATTTTTAAACGCTATAAGAGTATACTGTAAATACAATCCACCACGATATCGTTACAGCGCATTGCCATCACCACCCTAATAGCACGCAATGTTCAGGGAACGTCCAGTGGATATACATAGAACATAAAATGTCCTCTGAATGTTTTCTGGATGTTCTCTGGACGTCTTTTCAACATGTGTGCTATTAGGGCAGTTCCCGTACGATCGTTGAGGTTAGGCATTGAACAGCACATAGTCATCTAAAGATGGGTGTGGTGTGACACGGGATCGAATCCACGCGAATCTTACGAATAAATGAAACGACACAAAATATGAAATTATAGTTTTTTTTATTTACTATTTAGACAAAATAATATTTCATTATATTTTTCTCAATCTATTTTAATTAATAATGATTTTTCACTGAATTTTTCTACATTTTTAATGAAATATTATTGAAATATTAATGAAATTATAATGAAATTTTAATAAAATTGGGTCAAAATTGTGAATGTTTTTCAAAAACATTTCAGCAAAAGTTCATTATATTTTCAATAAATTATTACCATCAGATACAAATATCTCAACTGAGATCTTTTGCATGCAATTTTTGCGCAAACGGCATTTGAGAATTCAATTGAGAATTCAACTGAGAATTGAATTGGGAATTCTATTGTTATCTCTACGAAAATTTTTCAGTAGGGTAATTATTTCATATAATAAAAGAGAAGTTAGAAATACAAGTATAAAATATTTATGTAAAATATATTTACCTAGATGTTGACATTACAATTTAAAAAATATTTAAAAAAACATTTTTAAAACGTTAAAAATAATAGGATAAGTTTTCTTTTTTTCATTAAAAAGACGTTTTTTCAACGTTTTTTAACGTTTAGAAAAATGTTTTGATTTTTAATATTTAATAAACGTTTATTTTAACATTTAGAACATATTTTTTAAATGTTAACATTTAGAAAAACATTTTTTAAATGTCAAAATAAATGTTTATTAAATATTAAAAAACAAAATATTTTCCAAACGTTAAGAAACATTATTTTAATAAAAAAAGAGAACTTATACCATTATTTTTAACGTTATAAAAATATATTTTTAAATATTTTTTTTTAAATAGTGTTTGTCCATTGAGTAAGAAAAATAACTAGTAAATAAGTAAAAAAATATTATATTCGTAATATTTTTTAAATATTGCTATAATATTGCTAAAGTAATATTTCAAATTAATCTCTTATAGCATAAAATTTTGAAGGGATATCTTGAGGACTTGTGTGGACATTTAGAAGTCTTCGGAATATTTTTAAGATATTCTGAGGACTTATACAGACATTTAGCAATCCTCTGGATGTCTTTGGGACATGTTTTAAATCTTGTGCTATGTGGGATGCCACTACAATATCTCTGCAACATTGCACTGCAATATACAATGTTGCAATGTTATTATTACATGAAAATATATCTATAAGAATAGTAAACTTATTTTTCGAAAAAGAAATTCGTCTATAACATGGTAAATTAAACGTTATCATAATGTCATTTTGCAAAGTCATTTTGACGTCTTAAAACATGACGTTAAATACACGTCCTTAAAGAACAAATGACGTTACTAACCAATAGTGGTAACATATTGACGTCAAAATAACGATAGCTTGCTGCCTGGGGACGTTCCTTACACGTCCCTTGGATAAAGTTTGTTGATAATTGTCTTTTTTCTTATGAACATAATTTCTTACTTTACATGTAAATAATGTTAATATATATGTAAATTGTCTGTGTTAGATATATGTTAATAAAGGAAATCAATACATTTTAATAAAGGAAATCAATACATTTTATCAATAATAATTAACGTTGTTTCGAGTTAAAGTAGAACATTCTACAGATGTTATGAGGATGTCTGATATAATTTGTGGCAAAGAAATATGTCCTCAGGTAATCCTATAGATTATGTTTCAGTTGGATCAAACTGGGACATTCTGATCAAATTAGGATATCCTACGAAGATCTATTGCTATGTGGGGAAGGCTTTCTCCGACATTAAATCTGCCCTATTGAAAAATTTCTGTTGAGATAACAATAGAATTCCCAATTCAATTCTCAGTTAAATTCTCAAATGCGGTTTCCGCAAAAATTTGCATGTAAGATCTCAATTGAGATATTTGTATCTGATGGAAATAATTTATTGAAAATATAATGAACTTTTGCTGAAATGCTTTTGAAAAGCATTCACAATTTTGACCCAATTTTATTAAAATTTTATTATAATTTCATTAATATTTCGATAATATTTTATTAAAAATATAGAAAAATTCAATGAAAAATCATTATTAATTAAAATAGATTGAGAAAAGCATAATAAAGTATTATTTTGTTTAAATAATAAAAAAACTGTCACTTTATATTTTGTGTCATTTCATTTATTCGTAAGATTCGCGTGAATTTGATTCAGTGTCGCACGCTACTAACGTTACCGAGTTTTTCTATCTTTATCGCTCCTTAGGCTACGTTTAGATTCCTCATCCGGGTACACTCTATTACTAGAAACACTATAATATATGTAACATATACTATAGTACTTCTAATATTAGAGTGCACCCAGGTAGGGAATCTGAACGCACCCTTAGATGTACAACAAAGATAGAATGACACGGTAGCGTTGAATAGCGCTAATAGCGAGTTCCCCGAACGCACCTTTTAAAGTTATAATAGTAGTCCATATTTGAACTCTTCTTATAAACAGTGCAAATTTTTTTCTTTTCGGAAAAGTATGAATAATTAAAACTCTAATTATTCAAAAAATATTCCATTTCTTTACAAGCATTGAAGGAAATATCCTAATCGTTTGATAACACGTATATTCGTTCACAATAATTGTAAACATTTTAAGATATGAAGAAAAAAGATTATATTTGGACTTTTTCCTATACGGTATAATCTATAAGACGAAGTTCAGCCTTCTGATAATGTCGCGTTCTTTCTCTCCATAATCAACGGCAGACATCGGCAAGTGTATCTAACCGACTGTCGGTAGTCAGGTCTTCGGCCTTCACCATCGATAGTCTGATACAGACTTAAGGATGTATCTGAGATACAATCGGTGACAAAAGTGTTTGAAAAACGAAAAATTTTAATATCTGCTTCAAACGTGTTGTAAACCTAGTGATAAGTGATATGAATAGTGGCTAACATATTTCTTATTTAAAAAGTTATTTTTTACTTTCTCAACAGTTTATTACTTTTATTTGCTTTTTTCAACTTTCTATAATAAAACTTTTGGCAAGAAAAATGCCTTGAATTCAACTTTAGAATATTAAATTTCGTATTTATTTAACATCAACATCCATCAGTGCAAAGAAAATAAAAATAATTGGAATAAGTTAAAACAAGTAAATATGCATTGTCTGAACAATAACTATCAGTATTACTTGTTGTTATTATAAATATTTAATGAAAAAAGTCAAACGTAGTAACAGCGTACCATGTAGTTTGTGGCTTGTACGTTGGCAGTAATGCACTATGCAGGCAGGTTAGATGAAAAAGCCTCAAATTTCACACTTATCCTATTGTTCATCGAAATTATTTAATTTGTATTCTTGTCTTCTGCATGAAACAATGCAGACAAAACAAGAATTTACGACGTAACTTTATTATACTTTATTATATTGATTTATAGGTTATTTGTTTGATACACCAGCTGATTGCAACGTTGCCGCATTTCCACAGTCCAGTTACTAACTTCTTACGACAATCGCAAAATTGTCACAAATAAAAATTAATTTCTCTGAAACCGTGTTGCAAAATTAATCAAATTTTGCAAATAATTCCGATAATTCAGGATATATGTATAAAAATACTTAAATTTTTGGTACTATTTTTTCTATACGTTTTTACTCACTACATTCAGGAAAGTTGCTTTTGCTGTAAGAATACATGTAAAATTAACATAATAATTACTTTTCAACGGTTTAGTGAATCGATTTGAGATTTTTTTCAATATATTATAGATAATTAAAGAAAAGTTACCAAAGTTTTATCAAATTGGTACTATTTTTATATAGCTCAGGTACTTAATGCTCTTCGTATTATCTGATCTTCTACCGCGATAGAACTTAACATGGCACTATGAATCAGCCATAACCGTCAAACCTTGATCAAGTGGGGATAATCCGACAGCCATGGAGAGGGGAACGCTGGTGGGGAGACCGGGTGCACAGTGTCGGTTCTGCAGAGAACTTTGGAGTATACAGGGTTAGCAGCCCCGACAACGCGGAGCTTTCACGTGGTGTGGACTCGTCTCGACTGCACTGCGTGCATACCTTCGTGCGGCTCGCACAGACCGCACGGACATCAGTATACTTCGAGAGTTGCTCCGAGTCGGTCGACGACCGCGCTTCTCGCTCCGCTCAACTTCACGCATAAAACAAAACTCTCTTCAGTTCGAGATCGTCCGCAGACGTGTGTGATATTTTTGTTTAATTTTTGTTTCCTCTTAATTGAGGCAAGAGAGCAGGATAGTGCGGCAAGCAACACGACCGGGATCGCGCCATTCGTGATCGTCGCATCGCTCCTTCGACGGCCTGCCCGCTCATGTGATTGGTGACGATGATCATGAGCGGTTAGTCGTTGCGTTTCATTCGCCTGTTTGCTCGCTCGTGCACGTGTTATCCTCAGTGAGATCGATAACGGACATACCGGCGGTTCCCGCCGACGACGACGACGACAACGGCGGCAGCGGCGGCGGCGGCGATATCGACTTTCCGCTCACCCGCTCCGCTGCACTCCGTTACATTACATTACGTTACGTTACGTCGCTGGAGCGGCGTCGCGACGCTGTAAACAACTACCGATTCATCACGGGAGCCCGGCGGGCGAATACGTTTGTTTACTACGGCGTGGTTGCAGTCAGTCCATACGACCGTCATTCGTTCTACTTTCGATTCGCGTTACGTCGGATCGTCGGGCGCGCGCGAATGCGAGATCGCAGCGACGTGTTAGGTGATTAGATTGTCACTGTATTCACTCGCTCATTCGCTCGACGGGCGGCGGGAGATCACGTTCGACCGTGAGGACGCAGCGAGAGACAACCGTAATCGGATATAAGGCACGTTTGTGCGGGGGGCATCGGGCGGCGAGAGGTGCGCGTGAGCCTCTCGCTCCTTTTATCGGCGAACGATGGAGGACAATGGTCAAGGGAACCCGGGCAGCAGCACGGTGCTCGAGGAGATCTTCTATGTGACGTCCAAGCGGAACACGTACTACAAGGTGCGCCTGACGGAGAAAGGTCTGAGCCTGCACAAGGAGCACAACGGCGCGACCAAGAGCGAGACAATCGCCTTAGGCGACATCATTGGCTGCAGGTGCATGCGCTCGAAGCGCAGGAACGCGGGAAGCTGCGCCTGCCGACCGGGCGCGTCCAAGTCGCAGGTGAAGCTGGTGGAGTCGTCGGCGGAGACCTATCAGGCGTATTACGACGAGCTCGACACGTCCGCTTACCTCTACATATACGCGTACGCGTTGAAGAAGACGCGCGTTAAGGGCGGCCTGAGGCGCGAACGCACCACCATCACGCTGCGTTTCCGCAGCTTCGACAAGTATGAGGACAATTTACGTGAGGCGAGCAGGTGGCGGCTGGCGATCAAGTGCCTGGTCGCCAATGCACCCGTGCCCAAGAACCTCATGAGTCCCAGCCATGGCAATCTTGACGCGTTGATGGGGGGTGAGTCAGTGTGTATATCTATGTTTGCGATTCAAATGCTTATTTCTCGGAAAAAATGTTGCCAGATAGACATATCTCGGCATAGTGTCTGCCAAGTCATTAGCGCGCGAAGTTGCGTACTCATACAAGCTTCATTAATAGGTCTGTTCGTTTTCGAAGAACTTCTGAATTATACTAATGCTATAAGTTAGAGTGAAAGAAAGTATATTCGTTTCATTCTGCCCGTTTCTACTAACTTTGGTTCATTTAACCAGCTGGTTATTCCAACGGAATTGACTAATCGCATCTGCCAGTTCTGACTAACGAGAAGTGCGATTGATCAATTCAGTTGAAACAATCAGCCGGTTAAGTTAACTAAAGTTGATAGAAATTGACATTATTGCACTAATTGAGAAGTTCTTCGAAAACGAATAGATCTAATGCACCAACATTTACTAGATGAAAAATTATTAGATATTTTGGACTGTATTTTTCTACATATGTACTCATCATGTGTGTCAAGCATCCGAGGAATCGGGGACGATTCAAAGCAAACGCAATAGTCAGTTTGAGGTTTAGTTCGCGTAAGTTGTTGTTTTCTGTCCGCTCATGCGTTACGCATAATTACGTAGCAGAAAAGGAAGTAATATACTTCCGTCTACAATATGCGAAGTAAGCTTGAGATAAGTTGGAGTAATAAAAATTTATTTCGCTTTATGTCTATATTCTAATTTTTTTTATACTAGAAGTTTCTCTTTTTTAATTTCTTCATTTTTCTTGTCCTTTATTTTCTTCTATTTCTTTTACTTCATTTTTTTTACTTAAAACGATAACTTCCGATGTAAAGGAGTTCGAATATAGACGTAAGCGAGATAAATTATTTTTATCTCTTAGTCAAACTTCTTATGCTAAACTTACTCTGCATATTGTAGACGGCCACTTGTTTTTATCAATCTCTTACTCTTTTTATAAGAGATCTTGGAAGATATTGCTCATATGTCAATATCCAGGTTTTTTAAATATATTTTTCTGCTGATTATCTGTAACGTACGAGTGAGCAAAACATTATCTTACGCGAATTAATACTGCAATTCTAAGCAAATATACGAGTAAGTCGTAAAATTCATAGTTTACGAATCAATTGTAGTGTTGGTAAAATTCACAAGCCATAACATTATTGACAACTCATTGACAACTTTTAGTCGTAAGATTTATGAGAAATCGTAGATATTTACGAGTTATCGTATGACATATGGTCTGCATAGAATAGATCTATTCATAGGTTCTTACGAGTCTTACGAGAATAAGTTACAAGTTTTACGATTTTGCCTAGAATTGCAGTATAAATCTGTCAAACAAACTGTTAAACAAACTGTCAAACTATCACGGTTGCTTCCGAACAATGTTCTCGATTTTTCGGATATTCGATATTATCATGATAAAGGCACGTATAGAAAAAAAGAATACGACTAAAATATTTAGTAATTCTATATTTAATAAATGTTTGGGCATTAATAATATTGCGTATATGTGTGTATAACAAAAATTTTTTTAGTATATAAAAGAAGTTATTTGAGATGTCATGAAAAATTATGGTAGCGATATGATAGACAATGTGGTAGCGATATTCTGATGCCATAAAAATTGCTTATCTTGCTGGAAAGAAGAATTAATTCGGAATTATTGTAGTAATAAAAAGTGAATGTTTTTATGGAAATTACGGAAATTAATAAATTTCTTAAAACAATATTTTTTGTAAATATGTGTTGTTGCTATTAATAGATTTACTTCTGAGATATTGTCCTCTAAAGTCAAAAAGAGACCCTAAAATATCCATTTTTAATTATTTTATTTCTTCGAAAATAAAAAATCCTCGTATATGTATCGCGCGATAGACAATGATACTATAAAATATTTGTACCTACTTTAAGATCAAAATTACGACCTGCAGTTTTAGCATCATCCATAAGGCGATTTTGCATTATCATTAATAACTCGAAAACAATTGAAATTTCGTTTTCCAAAAATATGTGTATTTTCTTTATTCTACTAATAATATGTGTTGTTACAATAGCATCACAGAGTACACATCAAATGTTTGCATGCTGTTTATCTATATAATCGACGAAGAAAAGATTACAAAGTTCTTTTTTCAACGAGTTTCGCAACGCATCAATGAGACAATTCGCTTCATAGAACAATGTTCATAGTTCGATCTTATATGTAAGATCGTCTTAAGTTTATCTTAAGATGTTGTAAAAGTCGATTCATTTCCTGTATAACGTTTTGAGATGAAATTAAGACGACTTTAAATATAAGTTTCTGCACATTTCCAGCTATGAATAACTATTCTAGTAATTGTTATAAGATACATTTCTTATTCAATTGGAGTTCTTGGTGACCGACAGGTCTATTCTGTAACTTTTCGTGTCACTATGTTAAGGAGATTTCTCATGCGTCAACCAAAGAAAGAGCGGATTGAAATGTTTTATGCAAAAACTGTTAATATCATCAATGAAAAGTTTTATTATTAGTAGAATAAAGAAAATACGCATATTTTTGGAAAACGAAATTTTAATTGTTTTCGAGTTATTAATGATAGTGCAAAATCGCCTTATAAATGATGCTAAAATTGCAGGTCATAATTTTGATCTTAGGTACAAGTATTTTATTTATAGTGTCATTGTCTATCGCGCGATATATACGAAAATTTTTTTATTTTCAAAGAAATAAAATAATTAAAAATGGATATTTTTGTCTCTTTTTTACTTTAGAGGACAATATATCAGGAGCAAATCTATTAATAGAAAATCGCTCTTATACGTAGAAAAAAATGTTTGTTTGAATCAACCAATTTCTGATGAAATATGAACAATTTAGAAGTTTCCATTGAAATTATCAGAATTTTGTTAATATTAATCAGAAATCTTGATAAATTTAAACTGAATTCTGATAATTTCTGATATAGCATAACATCTAAATTGGAATATGACATTTTATAAAAAAAGACGTCCCTGAAACGTTTTTAAAACGTCTTACGTCCCGATTTTAGACGTGTTGTGTGGATTCAACCGGAATTGTTCATATTTCATTTGAGATTGGTTAATCCAACCGAACTTTTTTTTTCGTCTATATAAAAGAACATCTATATAAAAGAATATTTCCGTCTACATAAGAGAATAATTAAAGAGTAATTTTCTTCCTCCAAATTAGAGTATGATTGTTTAATTATTTACCGAGAAAATCTAGGTTCGTTGAAACATGTTTAGAAGGAAACGCGTTTCAAGTTAGTGTATTCGGTTATCGTTGAGTTCCCGTATTCGTTCGACACAGTTTGGGATTATTTCTTTTTGCCACTTTTTTGACGTGTTGCCGATGAATGCCGTTTTTCTGTAGCTGTAGCGCATACTGCATACTGCATTGCGATATTTAGAAAAATCCTTCAGACCAATTCTCAGATTTATAAGTTCTAAAACTCTTATTAGAGAAAAAATTCCCTCATTGAAAATAATTGTGATCAAATAAAAAGCAACTTATATTGCAATTTTAAACAAAATCGTAAAACTCGTAACTTGTTCTCGTAAAACTCGTAAGAACTTATGAATTGATCTGCAATTCTATGCGGACCGTATGTTATACGATAACTCGTAAATATCTACGATTTCTCGTAAATTTTACGATTAACTAGAAGTTGACAGTAAAGTTACGGTTTGTGAATTTTACCAACATTACGATTGATTCGTAAGCTACGACTTTACGATTTACTCGTATATTTGCTTAGAATTGCTGCATTAGTAACTATGGCCAGAGGCTATATTCTGTACACGTGTACTGACAATTGTTGGTTCGGTATATGTCATTGCGTAGCTATTTTATGATATGATTATACTGGCGCAACGTTATCTAACACATACTGATCCGACAGTTGTCGGTAAACGTGTGCAGAATAGCACTCCAGAAGTCAAGGTGCTTCGAAGCTATCTTCTAAATCATCGAATTGAAACTTCGATTACGATTTTTGTCATTCTAGTCAGGAAACATCTATTCCGTCTATATCTATTTCCGAGTAATTACTAGAAAATGTCTATTTCTGAATGATTACTAGTCAAAAAACATTATCTATTTTCAAATTATTACTAGTCAGAAATAGTCTATCTGTCTATTTATTTCCGATTGGCTATAGAGGAAAGAAGTAATCCCAGGGATATTTTTTAGGAAGGGTCCTATTGTTGTAGCGTGGCAAGCGCGCTTACCGGAATTTAAACTATCTGCGGGACGCTTTCATAAATTCTCTTATATCTTCACCATTTGCACGAATATTATAAGGTTACATACGGCCGAACGATTTGAAAACGCTCAAAGTTTGAATTCTTCCGCTGATCACATTATTAACTTTATCAAGATGATCTTTCGACGGATGATTCTTCAAACTTTTACTTATATATGAAGCCCATTGCAAAAAGTTGAAAAACGTTGTTATTACTGTTTCCATGAAGTTAATTGTCTCTAATTGGCATTCTCGATTCCCAAAAAATCTCCGATACTATTCATATAAAATAAACAAAATTTAAACCTGTTAAAGAAGATAAACAAAACTAGTATTTGTTGTGATCGATTTTTAATAAAATTTTTAACATTCAAAGTTGATCAACTTTTCGCTAAAATTTTCTGTTTTGTTTATAAAACAAAAACTATGATAGATATCGAAGAGATCCTATGAGACTAGATAATCTTGCTAAGAATATTTATGCAAAACAACAGATCTAATAGTTCATGAAATATTTTGGGCACTAATTTTGAAAACAGCTTTGAAAAAAATACTTTTAAAATTTTAGGTAAAGTTTAGATATTGTTTATACGTTTAAAGTTTATATTCAATTTGTACAAAGTCATTGATTTCGAGTTCATATAATACGTCATTTTTAGAGAATTCAGCTTTATAGTTTTCTTTGAATTTCTTCCGATATCTTGCCTCTTTGATCTAATGTCGTGCGCCTAGAGACAACGAATTGATAAGCATT